TGCAATGTTGCCAGCTGATTATGTGGACAAAAAAGGGGGAGTAAAGGAGGGGCAAAAGGTGGGGGAAAATAGGCAAGTTTTCCCCCACAAAAATATCCCCCGGATTGGGATATTTTCTGGGGGAAACAACCATACAGCTGTAAAGTGGATATTGAGAGGATCATGGCCGGCCCGTTTTTGGAGCTCCAGGTGGCCGGCCGGCCACCTCCCCTAGCCGGCCGGCTAGGGGTCAAAAGGGTCAAGCTGGTTTAGTGGCCGGCCACCACATGATGGTGTCCTCCCATGTGTGTACAACACAACCCTGTGGTTAAAAGTTCAAGAAAAATGGGCCAGGTTGTTCAACATTGGCTCGAAAGGAGGGGTTCAAAAAGGTCAAGAAGCATTAGTGGCCGGCCACCAACTTTTAGGATCCTCCCAAGTGTGTACATCACAGATATGTGGTTCAAAGTTCAAGAAAGTGGCCCCAAGGTGTTCAACATTAGCCCGGAAGTGTGAAAAACGGGCGTCGGAGGGCGTTGGAGGATATATAACTGGTTGCTGCAACAATTACTGGCCTCCCACCCTTTAGTGACCTTCCCGGTGATAAAACAGAGGTACCTTCCAAAAATGAACGAAAACCGTCGTAAAACGAATGTTCGGGGGCCAAAACACGCAGTTCGGGGTCCCAAAAATGGGCTGCCAAGCACCGAAAGTGGCGTTCGGCCACGAAGTGGGTTTCTCAGACCCCAGTGTCCCTCAAAAGGGAGAAAATAAGATGTATGCCAAAAATCAGAGCAAATGGAGATGGTTAAGCGGTCCCGAACCGAGGCACACGGCCTGACGGCTCCGAAAACCGGGAACCGGGCTCCGAAATGGGCAAAATGGCCTACGGCCACCAAACGTAGCCTACGGTCACTGAGAGATGGTCTACAGGACCTCTCCCTCCCCTCGGGAAAAGAAATAGAGAAAATCGAGTCTGGTTCGCAAACCGAGACAAAGCACAAAAGAGGGTTCGGAAGTCCGGAGGCAGGGCTCACGGCCGCGACTCTGAAACTTCTGAACGAGCACATTATGCAATATCACCAAGCGCTCAATCGGTGACGTCTGAGTCTTAAGGTCGGTCAAAAATGGGGTGTCTACAGTTGCCCCTCTTTGACAGAACTCGGAAGTCACAAGTGACGAGAGTGAATGTCAAAGCCTAGAGACGACCCATTTTTGACGAGGCCGAAGACTTAGACAAAGCAGACAAGATAAACAGAGATGTGCCCGCAGGCATGCCCGCAGGCAGGGGCAAAATGCAAAGCGATATGCAAAAAGCCGAACATAACTCAAGGATCATGCAAATGCAGCAAGCTGTAATGAAGCAAGTATTCGCAAATAGATGCAACAGTTTTAAGCAAGAATGCAAAGCAACAACTACATTTCATGCAGTTAAGAATGCGGAGAATTGTTCAATTCTCGTCGCGTCTCACACGGAGAAGATACGATACCTGCGCGATTCGTCTGGTCGCACCAGCCTCAAATGAACCGTACATACAATATCGTGCCTGTAAAAGAGAGAAATTCAACAAGCACAATATGCTAGAAACATATATTCAATGTAATTTCGAAAGTTTGACACACGCAGTGCCGGCAGGTGAATGCATCGCGATGCAGGAATGGAACGTGCGTAACAACGCATGCTCAAGCACAGAGGTATGGTACTATCGAGAAATGTGCATCACAATGCAAGTATGCTCATGAGAATGTAAGTTATGTGCATGATAGTGCAAAACGAGCATAAATCATGGTGCCCGTTTGTTACGAAATGACGAGCAAGGAAACGCGTGTTTCGGCGAAGGCGACTTCGATGACGGCCTTTGATTCAATTTCTTGGAAAGACTACAACATATTCAAAAGGATACATCTTGATTTCGATGAATAATGATAAGACACATGTCAGAATTTGAAGCCAGGGTTCCGGCGGAGCAATTTCGCGACCGGAAGTGCACTTTTCTTGAACTTTTTCAGGTCCCGGGAACTCCAATCTTCCTCAAAATTTGCAGAGAGCTAGGTGAGCCTGTGGGGGACATGGCCGGCTAGTTTTATGAGGGATGAGAGCTGGCCGGCTGGTTTTACAAAAAGAGAATGGCTGGCCGGCCGGTTTTCCAAAAAGGAAATGGCTGGCCGGCTGGAAAAGGTGGCCGGCCGGCCATATGCCCAAATCCGAGGGCATTTTGGTCCTTTCACCCCCTTTCTTTATGCTCCTTCATCCCAAGACTTCAAGCCTATAAATGCAGCCGAGATCCTCTCTTCTTTTGCCTCCTACATCCTTTTCTTTTCCAGATCTGAGTTCCATACACGTTTTCCAACGCCCCACGCAAATTGTTTTCACAAAAATATTCAGTTTCAAGTATTTTGGGCCGCTTAAATTTTGGTTTCGGAGCTTCTTTTCTCATTTTCGCCCCTTGAGGTAAGTTTGTCTCAATATTTGGAAGATTTTCTCGGGAGTTGACTTTTGTTGACTTTTTCATTTCCCGAGAGTTGACTTTTGTTGACTTTTTCTAATTTTGGCTCATTTTCGCTCATTTTTGCTCTTTTTGTAGAATTTCTGAAAATGGCGGGTCATTCTCCTCATGGTGGAGGTTTTCCGGGTGCCGGAGACGATTTTGATCCCATGACTTTACCCTCGAGGGCCCGGCCTTTTATTCCCGGGAGGTACGCTCCGCCAGCACATGTCCTTCCGCGTGCCGTTTTCCGTTATTTCACTGACTTTGATGAGCGAGCACCTGGGGATCTGCTTCTCCGAGAGCCAGAGCATCACCTCTCTCATGAGGCCCGAGAGGTATTTACTTCATTTTCTACATTTTTCGTACATTTCGCACCTTTGCCACACGCAGTTTAGCTTATGACATAGTACTTTGCTTGCATCCTGAACATGTAGTTTAAACACTCGGATTTCTGAACACTCGGCTCATTAATTAATTGTGAACGCACGGCACACATTAGTTAAGAAATGAACACACGGCTTAAACATTGATTAGGAGTAGAACACGCAGCCCAAATTTTAATTTCCTGAACACGCAGCCCAGATTAAAAGTGAACGCATAGCCCCCACTGATTGAAAGTTGAACACGCCGCCCAAACTTTAATTTCCTGAACACGCAGCCCAGATTAAAAGTGAACGCACAGCCCCCACTGATTGAAAGTTGAACACGCCGCCCAAACTTTAATTTCCTGAACACGCAGCCCAGATCGATAGTGAACACGCAGCCCACACTGATTGAAAGTTGAACACGCAGCCCAGATTAAAAGTGAACGCACAGCCCACATTTATTGAAAGTTGAACACGCAGCCCAAACTTTAATTTCCTGAACACGCAGCCCAGATCGATAGTGAACGCACAGCCCACACTGTAATTTCCTGAACACGCAGCCCAAACTCTGATTTTTTGAACACGCAGCCCAGATTGATAGTGAACACGCAGCCCACATTGATTGAAAGTTGAACACGCAGCCCAAACTTTAATTTCCTGAACACGCAGCCCAGATCGATAGTGAACGCACAACCCACACTGTAATTTCCTGAACACGCAGCCCAAACTCTGATTTTCTGAACACGCAGCCCAGATTGATAGTGAACACGCAGCCCACATTGATTGAAAGTTGAACACGCAGCCCAAACTCTGATTTCCTGAACACGCAGCCCAGATCGATAGTGAACGCACAGCCCATACTGTAATTTCCTGAACACGCAGCCCAAACTCTGATTTTCTGAACACGCAGCCCACATTGATTGAAAGTTGAACACGCAGCCCAAACTCTGATTTCCTGAACACGCAGCCCAGATACTTGCACACAGCTCATTCATTTCATTAGCACACAGCTCATTCATTTCATTAGCACACAGCCCATTCATTTCATTAGCACACAGCCCATTCATTTCATTAGCACACAGCTCATTCATTTCATTAGCACACAGCTCATTCATTTCATACTGACACATGTATTCATTCTGAATGTAGGTTAGTTCTCGCAGTGTACAGGGGTATGGCTCCACCGCCGCGAGGGATTGGTACGCTGAGCTCCCGGAGGCTGTCCGGGATTTAGTTGATCTGGCCGGGTTCGGGGCCTTCTGCGTGGGATTATCGCGTTGCCCGGCCAGGAGGACGCTGATAGCTGCCCTGGTGGAGAGATGGTGGGACACCACCAACTCTTTCCATTTCTCTACCACTGGGGACATGACTATGACCCCACTAGATTTTGCTGTGTTGACCGGCTTGGACGTAGGAGGTTGGCCCATCCCTTATGATGAGGATATGGGCAAGTGGGAGGCCGCTTGGATTCATCTGCTGGGGGCTCGCCCACCTGTCGACAGAGCCTCTGGGAGAGTTCGATACACTTGGTTCTCTTCCCACTTTCGGCGGGCGGAGATGGTGCCCGAGACTCCTGAGGAGACGGAGCAGTACGTCCGTGGTTTCCTTATGTTCCTCTTCGGGACTACCCTGTTCGCCGATATAGGGAACACAGTCGGGTTATATCTGCTGAGCGCTCTGGTTGACCTATCACAGGTCAGTAGATATGACTGGGGCGGCGCCGGCCTGGCTACCCTTTATTGCTATATGAGCGCGACATCCCGCGGGCAGGGAGATTTACTTGGCGACTATTAGAGGGCCAGGGAGGTATTTTCTGTCCCCTTGATTTACATTTCCGCTCTTCATTACTTGTCCATTGCACACACGGTGCGCTTTGCAGCCTGTATTTTGCCCTCAGCATTTTGTATTTATATTCTGCATTGCTTTTCTCAGTTATGGGTATACGTATACTTCCCGACATTAGGTCCAGAGTTGGAGGTGGCAGCCCCTCCCATGACCCCATATTCATTGGTATTCGAGGGCCCGCACCAGCCGAGACGCCAAGAGTCTCTCCTTTACTTGCGACAGTATTTTGACACTGTGCGACACTCGGAGGTACTTCAGAACTTTCAGTTCCTTTCATTTTCATCTTTGATTTGCCCTGTATATTCCCGATTTCTGATTGGTTTATGCATTTGTCATCCGCAGATCACATGGCAGCCCTGGGCGCCCTTGGGTGATGGTCTCCGATTTCAGTATACCGGAGGATCGGGCATCTCCCAGTATAGGGTCCTGCTCGAAGGGCCGGTTGGCAGGGCATGGTTTCTGGGGGAACGCTTTCTGCGTCAGGTATGGGGGTATCTTTCTCAGGATCCTCCCGCAGTACCCCCAGTCAGTATGCGGACTACTGACAGGCTCTCTTTCTCGGAGGTAGTCGGCGCTATGCTGGGTAGCGATGCTTTACTATATCTCGAGGAGGGGGATTACGGCACTTACCGTCATACATATTTGATGCCTCCATTGACGGGAGTTCGTACCCCGATGACGAGGCCTGCTGGTATGTCATCCTCGGGTCAGGCCCGGGCTCGGGCTGCAGACGTTCCTTCCACCAGCGAGGTTGGTACATCTAGAGGTGGGGGTAGACCGGTTCCTCCGATTTCGCCGACTTATCCTCATCCTGGATGGCCAGATATGCCGACTGAGTTGATGGCGTGGCAGTATGGGGCTATCTCTTAGACTCCGATCCCGCTAGAGCCTCCGATGCCCAGTGATCGACACGCCATTGATCCTGACTCACCGCTGGTATGTTCCACTGTCTTTTCATTCATCATTAAGAGGTTTAGACATTCTTTCATTCACTGATGATTATGAGCTCATATTTGCAGCCACCGCGAGGGTACATGGAGGAAGTGGTTGGACTGGTGGCCACACTCGAGGGCATGGTCCTGCGGAGGGAGGCACAGTTGTCTATCGCGGGCATTCAGGTACCCTTCAGTTTTCTGGCATTTATCATACTTCTGATGACATGCTGATTTCTACTACATCGATAGATTACTTGTGTAGAGCACATCTGACACACACCCCACTTGTACACTGTATTTGCATGCACCCACCTCACGTAGTCTTTGCTTGTATCTGCATCTGATGTATATATTTGGACTGATGTATTTGAATTGAACTCTTTATTCTCAGATGCCTTCATGGTCCGGTCAGCCGCAGACCAGGCCACCTGGGCCTCCTTGGGGAGCTGGGCCATCTGGGCCATTTCACGGGGTTGGGTCATCCGGGCCTTTTCAGGGGGCTGGGCCATCCCGGCCTTTCCGAGGAGCTGGGCCATCTAGGCCTTTCCGAGGAGCACGAGGAGGGTCCTCCCGCAGGCGTAGGACACATGTTGTAGAGGCAGAGCCTGATGAGGAGGAGGAGGAGGCCACAGATCGTCAGTCAGAGACATCTGCTGAGGAGGGGGGCTCCGGTCTTGGTTCGGGGAGCAGAGGCGAGGCTGGGGGGGATCCTGAGGACGACAGCTCCGATCCGGACGATGATGATGGTGCAGAGGTTGTCCCGCAGAAGAGGATGAGGAGTACTTCTCATTCCCGCTCCCGAGGGCATTGATGCTGCTGTGTTCCTGCTTTATTTTTCTTTTTGCTAATAGTTTGTAGCACTTTGCACATTGTTAGGTAGTTTTATTTTTTGTAAAACTTGTACCTTTGTTCGTTGTAAAACATGATGGAATGAAACAGCTTTTTGAAAAGGTGTTTATGTTTTAAAATTTTTAGCATCGTATCGCATCATTTTATTTTGCACAAAAATGAAATTGAATGGGAATGTGTATTGTGTAATCACCAGGTCAGGTAGTGAACCGACGCAACAAACTAAGCAACTCAACTTACTAAGATATAACAGAACTTTTAGCAAGTTTACAACTCAATAAACAAAATGCAATAACGTTGACGACGCAAATAAACAAGACTTAAACAAAGATTGCTTAAACAGAGAGTAATGACTCAAAAACGTAAAACACGTCCGCTCGACAAAAAACTCGATAAGCAAAACAACAACTCGATAATCAAAACGACAACTCGATAATCAAACAACAACAACAGAGTGTATTTCGGGCGATCCAGGTACCGGAACGCATCCGAAACAGAGGGAAATGGAGGCCTTTGACTCTCCCGTTGCATGGGAATGCTTGAAACTTTCCCTCGAAGGGTAAAACAGGGCCAAGGAGATACACTGAAACATTGCCGGCCACCTTTGGGAGCCGGCCGGCCAATTTTATGGAGAGTGGGGGCCGGCCGGCCAGTTTTTGAAAAAGAGAATGGCCGGCCAGCCAGAAAAGGTGGCCGGCCGGCCACTTGTTCCTACAGCCACCTAGTTTTTTGACACGTGTCCCCATGAATAGTGTTTTTCCCTCTATAAAAGCCTCAACTTCGGGAACATTCATTTCATTTTAGTTTTGCACAAAAATGGAGGCATTTTTTGCAGAAAATCTCATATCTTGGATCTCTTCTCTAGATGGCTTGGAAAAGCTGAACTTCCGGGGTTTTGGCTTGAATGCACTATTCACGCTAAGCCATACTCCGTTACATCTCCCTTTTCTCCATGCCGCGGCAAGTTTCTGGAACCCAGTGACGCACGTTTTTAGCTTCGGCGGCCAAGAGGTATGTCCCACTTTCGAAGATTTTCAGGTTTTGATGGAGTCTGAATGCTCTGAAGTGATCTTGCCCCAGCTCCGCTTCGGCCACGCCCAGGCTTTAGGGCGGATGTGTGGGCTCACGGCGCACGATGCTCGATCTCTGATCTGCAGTGGGGAGCTGGACATCCTCGGTTTGATCCATCGTTTTTCCGACGCCGGTGACCGCAGCAACCATTATTGGCAGGGTTTCCGGCAACACGCCCTCTGCTTGTGTTTGTTGTCTCACTTTCTGCTTTCCTCGGGCTTCGGCGGAGCTAGCATCCATCTGATTGAAGTTGCCCAAGGCTTGAGAGAAGGAAAGAGCTGTATTGCCATGACTTTGGCCGAGGCGCTGATGGGCTTGGATTCTGTCTATCGCCGGGAGACGACTAGGTTTGCCGGGAGTCCACTGCTGCTGCAGGTAATGCTTCCCACCCAACCTTACATACATATTTGCTCACATCACTCGACCCTCAGGCTCGGTTTTTCTCACAAAACCCTTGTCTTACTTTTCTCTCATCCTACATCTCTCTGTTCTTTATTTTCTCATTTTCCATCCCTCCCCTAGGTATGGTTAATGGATAAGTTGCAGGTTGTGGACTCTTGCCCAGCCTATTCAGCTCGTGGCTACTTCTTTCGGCAGCGCCTAGTCAATGCTCTTGACGAAAGGTGGTGGTTTGATTGGATGTGCAATTTGTCCGCAGACCGCATTGCTTGGCGTTGTCCTTGGCTCAACCTAC